CACTTAGGGCGGGCACGGCACTTTCAGACACCGCCGAGGGACTAAATCCTCGCAATTATACTAAGTACACTATAGTATTATATTATTACTATTCTTATTATTGTCATTGACATTAAATTTGAAGCATTCCTTTTTTTTTTCCTTTTTTTTTTTTGAAGAACTCATTTTCATATAACAACCCTGGAATCAGGCCCCGCTTCCCTTACAAAACCAGTTCGTGGGTCCCCAAATGAGCGTGGCATCGCCCGGCCAGGCTCAGAGGGGTATCTTCTGCGCTGCAAGCGGCTGCGGTCCCCGTCACCGCTGCTAAAAAATCTCCCAACTTTATGTGAGCATGAGAAGTCTACTGAGCTATCTCCTACGTACTGATCCAATTATGCCATCTGTTCTGATTTTTTTTTTTTTTTTTTTTTTTTGAAACACTCCCCCGCCAGTGTTAGTGGTGCTGATAAGAGCAGACACCACTAGCACCTGGGGGGAGGCTCCATCTATTGGTGGGGACCATCACCTGCTGGAAAACAGGTCCAGCGTCCCATATACGGGCTGAATTTGGAGAATATATCAGACAAAAGACAATTGTGGGAGATTCCTGCCAGCATTGATTACCCTGGGCTCTAGGGGATTGACTGAGCAGAATATTGGAAGGAGGGGGAACCTCTTCACCCTGGACCCAGCGCCAGATACCTGCTGCTACGCGCTAGTTCCTCCCTCTCAACAACTCCTCTATCCTTGAAGATCAGCAAGAGTCCAACAAAGAAGCAGAAAAGCAACAGGAAGGCAACCGAAAAGCAACTGGAAGACCCTATCTATCCTGAATCCTGATGCAACTGTCATCTACTAAGCTGATTCTATGTCAGCAAGCCTTAGGATGCAACAGCATACCACCACCAGGATACAGGTCTTGCACAAGGGCCTTTCAAAAAAAAAAAAAAAAAAAAAAAAAAAAAAAGGATGCAACAGCAATTCAACAGAGAGCTATGGAACTGTCCAACAGAAAACCACGTCATTATCGTATCCCAAGATTGGGTCTAGCTACACCACGCTCCACTCCCCGCGAAATCGGAGAATGCACGGAGAGCTGTCCGACCCTCCAAATTCACCTTCTTAGCATCACCGCTGCACTTGCTGTCCACGCTCCTACTCTCCAATTTCAGAGTGCACTAGCAGACAGCTAGACACCGTGACAGCAGAAGAAGACACGGCGTCATCACAATTTTGTACTGTTGCAGTGTGGCATACTGCGCACCACACGGGCCTGCAGGACCCGACCAGGCAGAAAGTCAGGGCCCTCCAGGCCCTGTGTCGTTTCAGGCTAAGAGCCTAAAAAGGAGGGCCATTTTCAGGACCTCATAAAGTCGACCTTTCCTGAAACTTAGGTGCCAGACCAGGGACAAGCGCAGCCCAGTTTTAGGCCCGTTTCAAGCATGGTAACCGCAGACCCGGACACCGGACACTTCCGGACCATATTCCGGACCGGTGTCTGGACCGGTCCAGACTGTCCGGTAATCCAGACAGTACCGGACACCGGACACTACCGGACACCGGACAGTCCGGACCGGTGCCAGGGGGTCAGAAAATGTCCGGACCCAGAAAAAAAAAAAAAAAAAAAAAA